AGAACCAAAAGCAAGCCAAGGGGGGGGGGGGGGAGGAGAGGAGCGCCCAAGCTCCTGAGCAGGGTTCCCTCTAAGCTGAGCTAGTGTGAGCCAGCTCACAGTTTTTTAGCCTCTGGACAGTCTTCTGTGCATGCTGCAAAAAACTTGCTCTGATCTGGACACCAAACTGAAACGAAAACTCCTTATGGAAGTAGCCAACCTGAGGAAGCCCGAACACTTAAGTTTTGAAATGTCCTTAGACTATTAATATTGGCACCAGTGTTCCCTCCAAGCTGAGTTGGTGTGAGCCAGCTCACAAGTTTTTTAGCCTCTGGCTCACACATCTTTGTCTCCGCTCAGGAAGGATGGGGCTCCAGAGCAAACTAAATCAATGCAGTGATCAAATCTGCTCGCTCACAACTTTTAATGCCAAGAGCTCGCAAAGTAGGATTTTTGCTCAGGAGTCTCCACAGCTTAGAGGGAGCACTGATCCAAACCAGTGTTCCCTCTAAGCTGAGTGTGAGCCAGCTCACAGTTTCTTAGCCTCCGGCTCACGCGTTTCTGTCTCCGCTCAGGAAGATTGGGGTTCCAGAGCAAGCTAACTGATGCAGCAGCCGAACTGCTCACTCACAACTTCAACGCCAGTAAACTCAGGAAGTAGAATTTTGGCTCACAGGACTCCACGGCTTAGAGGGAGCATTGCTCGCAGGCCCAGGGTTCCCTCTAAGCTGCGTGAGTGTGAGCCGGCTCACAGTTTTTTCAGCCTCCGGCTCACAGTTTTTTCTTTTTTCAGCCTCCGGCTCACAGTTTTTTCAGCCTCCGCTCAGGAAGGACAGTAGTTCAGCAGTTCAAGACCCGAGTGTGCCGCATGACGGAGTGAGCTCCCGTCTCTAGCTCCAGCTCCTGCCAACCTAGCAGTTTGAAAGCAAGACATTGCAAGTCAATAAATAGGTACCACTTCGGTGGGAAGGGAACAGCGTTCCGTGCGCCTCGGTGTTCAGTCATGCCGGCCACATGACCACGGAAACGTCTTCGGACAGCGTTGGCTCTTCGGCTTGGAAATGGAGATGAGCACCGCAACCCTAGAGTCGGATTCAGCTGGCTTTCGAGCAAGGGAAACCCTTTACCTTTACCTTTAAAACATCCAAAGTACGAAACAACCCTTCTGATTTCAGAAACCTAACGCAGTATCATTTAATTACTTGTCCCCCTCCACAACATTAAACTAAAACCTGTCATAATATTTCTTAGTGGCAGGCCTTTTGATCATGAAACAAAAAACGTCTTCGGACAGCGCTGGCTCTTCGGCTCGGAAACGGAGACGAGCACCGCAACCCTAGAGTCGGACTCGACCGGCTTTCGAGCAAGGGGAAACCTTTTACCTTTTACAGGAAGGAGCCAACTAAACCCAGAGGCCAACTAAACCGATGCAGCTCACAACTTTTCATGCCAGGAGCTCGCCAAGTAGGGTTTTTGCCCACGAGACTCCTGAGAGACCCGGGAGAAGCGCCCCCCACCCCGGAGTTCGCCTGCCCCGGCTCTTCCCTCCGGCTTATTTAAGCGGGGCGGGGGGCTCCTCTCACCGTGGAAGTCCCCGGTGTCGGCCACCACCGTGGTGTGCCGCTTGAGGTGCTCCAGCGCCGACTCCATCTTCGGCTTCTTCACGGGCGAGACTGACATGACCCCCTCAGGGAACGGGGGGCGCGCGCGCGGCTAAACTCTCGCGAGACCCTCGGTAGACCACCTCTCCGGGAAGACGCCTCGCGCCACCCCCCAACGCTGCCAACAGTCCAGGCGGAACAAACCGACGGCCGCGCGCGAGGATCCCTGAAGGGGCGGAGTCGAGCAGGCTGGCGCGGGCGCCTGAAGGGGACCCTACTTCCTCATTCCTCCCTCGCTCTCTTCAGGCCACGCCCCAGGAAGGGGGAGGGGGACGCCGCGCCGGAGCCCGGGAAAGAATGAGCGCGCATGCGCGCCATCCCCCACCCTTGGCCGCCAATCGCAGCCGGCTGCTGATCGTAGAACTGGTGAGAGGGCTGGTGATAGCCGCGTAGGGAGAGTGAAATGCAGCCAATCGCAGGGCAGCGGAAGAAGAGGCGAGGCCTCTGAGTGGCCGCCTCCTCGCCTCCTCCCCGCCTTTCTCCTGACTGGTGTCGGGGAAATTCCTGGACATGGGCCAGCTAAAGCCTTTCCGGCTAAAGAGCCAGGGGGGCTACCTCAAAGTATTTAAGGTCCTTTTTTTAGTAACCTCACCCCAACCCTTATTTTATTTTGCATGTTCTAATTTTTATATTCTTGAATATATTATACTCTTTTTTTTTCAAGATATATATATACACACACACATACACACATGTGGCACCCGGGTCTCCAACTACTGACCTTCCACAATGGAAGGTCAGTAGTTCAGCAGTGAGACCTGAGTTGCCGCTGCCACATCATGATGGAGTGAGCTCCTGTTCCCGCTGCTGCCAACCTAGCCGTTGGAAAGGAAGAAATTGCAAGTAGATAAACAGGTACCACTTCGGTGGGGAGGTAACAGCGTTCCGTGTGCCTTGGTGTTTTGAGGGATGGGGTTGTCCATCTTCCACCCCCAGTGGGGGACTTTGGGGGCATTCTTGGAGGGGGCGGGGTATCCCCGACGTGATGACATCACGTTGGGGACGTCCGCCGCCCCGCTCCCGCGCCAGATCTCCAGAAACGGCAGTTCCTTGCACTTAAAGGAGCCAGCGTTTCCCTTTTAAATGCAGGAGCCAGTGTTTCCCCTTTAAGAGCAGCCGTGCCTCGAAGCTGGCATTTCCCTGCAAGGCAGATCTCAAGCGGAGATCGGGCTTGGGAGGACTTGGGAGGAAACACGGGTTCCACACACTTAAAGGGAGAGAGAGGGCTGGCTGTGGGTGTTGGGGGCAGGGGGACCCCTGGCAAACTGTGGGGGGGGGGGTTTGGCAACCCTAGGGGGGAGTCAGAGGAGGGCAGGGTTTGAGGAGGAGAGGGACTGAAGTGGAGTATAAGGCCATGAAGTCCATCTTCCAAAGCAGCCATTTTCTCCAGGTGAACTGATCTGTATTGCCTGGAGATCAGCCCTAATCCCAGGAGATTTCCAGTCATTACGGTGTGTGTGTATTTTTTCTGCATTTTATGTGTGTATGTGTTCTGCAGGTCGCACACTTTGGGGGTGGGGTTCCCCCCCCCCCCGCAGCCCGATCCGGGCCGGCGGGGAACAGGCCTCTTGAGTGGGGGTTTCCCCACCCTCCGGGGGGATCTGGCAACCCTCATTTCACCTCTGGCTGACATCATTGTGCCGGGCACATTGGTTGCTACAGGGCTCTTCGTGGGTAGGTCTCCCCCGCTGGCCAGCAGCAGATTGGGAGCCCCAAAAGTGGGGGGAAACCCACCCCCATCAGGGGGATTGCAACCCCACTCTCTATGCCATTTCTTGGTCATATTTCAAATACTGGTTCAGGCCTCAGCCTAGTAAAGAGGCCTAGTAAAGATGGATTTTTTCTCTCTTTGCAACATAGCAGCAAGTGGTAACTCCGAGAACACGAACTATGGGTGGGTGCATTCCATCTTGTTCACGCCTGAGCTCATAGGTGGGAGAAAAGTGTTTGCTCAGCTGAACCTGATGTAGCTGCCAGTTGACAAGCCCCTCTGATTGGTCAGACCACCTGCTTAGCAACCGGTCTGGTGGCCAGATCATTCACCATACATCTGATTGGTTAATTAGAATCAGGGCAACTCCAGTCTTTGGGCATAAAGTAAAGGTTTTTCATTCTAGTTTTGTTCTTAGCCATTGTTTGGATGTTGCCTTGCTTGCTGGGTCCTATTGACTGGAAACCTCATCTTGGGCTTTGGAACCTTTTTTTTTTTTTTTTTAAATTAACCACTTTATTAAAGTTATACCCAGGGGTCTTGTTGTAGAAAAAGAGCTGCCGGAGCTCATTAGCATAACTCATTAGCATAACTTATTTGCATATGCCACGCCCCCTGACATCACCGGAAGTGACAGAAGGCCACACCCCCTGACATCACCGGAAGTGTGTCAGAAGGCCCGGCTACTTACCCTCCTGCTTCATCCTCATTCCCAAACGGAATGAGGATCGAAGCAGAGGGCGGGGTAAAGAAGGGGGCGGGGCTTCACCACGTGACCGCCCCGCCCCCTAGAGGTTCTCTTCCGGAGCTCCGTACCTGAGAGCTCCCCCCCGACTAGAGCCCTGGTTATACCAATTACAAACAAGCTAACAAAATACCGTGTAACACTATGTCAACGATGTCGAGATAAGAAAAATAAGAGTAAACATTGGTAATTGAAATATACAAAATACAATCAAGCCATCTGAAAAATACAAAGTATGTAATCTTTCTAAATATTTAACAATGCAATATAAACTTTTGAAGGTTGGGCTTTGGAACCTTGATGGACTGAGGCCCTGGTGACAAGGAGATTTTGCCGCAGACAATAGGAACCTAGGATCCTAGTTCCCCCAGCATTCACCAATAGCAACTTTGGCGGGAAATTCAAACCCTCCGATGGGACTGTGGGTGTGCTGGGTGGGTGTGTATATAGTTGGCCTTGCAGGGCTGTTTTGCAGTTCCAGTGTTAAGGACGATAAATGTGTGCAAACGCATGTCGTTGTCCAAGTCCTCCATCCGGCATACCCCCTACGTTTCAACAGAGATCAGTTCCCCTGGAGAAAATGGATGCTTTGGAGGGTGGCCTCTATAGCACTGTGCCCCACTCAGGTCCCTGTCCTCCCCAGGGTCCATCCCCATATCTCCAGGAGTCTCCTAACCCCCACCGTCCCCTGCCAGTGGCCAGGGGGACCTGGCAACCCTCCTCCCAGTCCACTCCTAGCCATATTGCTCCCCCCAGTCCACTTTCTCCTGAGATCAGCCCAGCTTGGCTGGCAATGGCTCACTTGCAGGGCACATCCCTGACTAGGGTTTGTTGCTTTCTGGTGTGACTGGGGCTGGAAGTCACACATCTGCTCCCAGTGGCTAGCTGACTGTTGGGGTGGGGTGGCACTTGACTCTGGCCATACCCAGGAGTCATTTCGTAGAAAAAGAGGTGCAGGAGCTCATTAGCATAACTCATTAGCATAACTCATTTGCATATGCCACACCCCCTGACATCACCGGAAGTGTGTCAGAAGGCAGCACCCACCGCTCAGGCTCCACTGGACTGTTTTGGATTGCTAGCTATGGGGGGGGGGACGTGCAGATCTGGCCTTGCAAAGGAGGGAGAGCTGAAGGCGGGCCGGAGTGGGGGCTCTGCAACTTACCTGGCTGCTTCTTGCTCCTCATGGCCCGACTGAGGGCTGCTGGGAGCAGGGGGCGGGGCTTGTTGCATGTGCCCCCCCCCTGAGCTCCTTGCTGCTGGAGCTCCGCTCCTGTGTGCTCCTGCAGGAAATGACCCCTGGCCATACCTCTCGAAGGAAACTGCCTGCTCCTGCTAGGACCCAGGTAATTTGGCAATGAGCGAAGCAGGGCCTCTCAAAGCCATTCCACCACAGAGGTATTTTGTTTATGCCAGCCTACCACGCAGATGTTCTTACCACTATATCACTTGTCTCCACACCACTATCAAATACCAACACATGTGGTAATAGCCTGCAGCTGCCTGTGACAGTGGTAGCCAATCAACCTGGTATAAATCCTTATTCCTAAAAAGATCTGACATATGGAATAACCACCACATGGAGAGTTTCAAGTAGGTTTAATGTGAGAAACTACCTTAGTTGTTTTCATATGGCAATTATCTCCAAACTGAGGTGTTTTCCACGAATGCATATTAAGCATACTGATTAATTCTGCCCTGGTGAGAAACATGCATTATGAATGTGGCAAATTGATTTGATTGACTTGTAAGAATTAGTAAAAGTTACCCATGTAGTTTCAAAATACTGAAAATCTGGCACTCGGAATAAAAGTCTATTTTTAATTTACAAATTAGAATCACTTTCAAAATAAACCGAAGTGATGTGTAAATATCTTTTAATTTTGAAACCAGCTTGCCACCCCTGTTTACAATACATACATACAGTTCTGTCAGTTCAGCATAATTACATCAAGCTATGTCTGATTGAACAAATAAGGCAAGATCTTAACCCTGTTAAAATATATGCAAATACTCGATTTGATATGTTGTGAGCACTCCCAACTAAAACAAGAAGAACATGGTTTCTCAAGTGCAGACGCTGTTGAGCTTTTGTCGTGGCCATAGGCTTGCCAAGTCCCCCCGAGGGGCGGGGAAACCCCCGCCCCAGAGGCCCGTTCCCCGCTGCTGGTGGATTGGGCACCGGGGGGAACCCCACCCCGACGTGCACGTCACCCGGAAGTGACGCGACCACGCCGGGCACGCTGGGGGCGGGGCCGCGGTCATCCGAGGGAAAACTCTATGGTTTCCCTCGGATGGTCATGGC